GAGGACAATGGTTCCAACAGGCTGCTGAACTTTATCGTCTTGGCCTCAAGCATGAGCGCTCTTCCGCTTTCTTTGCGCTACTATCCGTGGTTGCTTTAATGAGTGCCATGGAAAAAATGCGTGCTCGCATACCCTCTGGGTTCAAGCAAGTGCCATCCGAGGTATACAGCGCGGTCTTCCGACAGATCGGCGGCACGGGCACGAGGAAGACATTTGATAACAAGATGAGCCGGTCTCGCAAACTTGCGAGGGTTTTTAACGACAAGTACAGAGGTCTTTTGCTTTTCGTCTGCTTCGACAACGATAGCCCTTCGACTATCTCGGCTTTTACGAAGATGACTGATGACGATGTTGCGGAGCTTCACATGGCTATTGACAACGACCAACGGGCAGGTGCGCTAGCCCGCTTTGGCAATGAGTTCTTGGGCTGTATTTTGGAAGACACTGCTTTCCGTAACGGAGTTTGGGCGGATCGTCCTTACCAACAACTGGAAGAGATGGCCGACGAGGGTTTGTTCGACTTCATTACACAGACAGGGATCTCCAAGTAGTTTTCATTAGGATATGGCAGTTTGTCACGCGAATCTTGCTAGGACAACGCACATTTTTTGAGTACGCGACTGTTTAGCTAGTAGTCGTGCACGGGCCACAAAGTTTCCCGACACAAGGAAACTTTGTGGCCCGTGCACGACCGCCAGCAGGTGCAACCTATTGCAAAAGACCTTGCTATAATACAGCACATCACGGCGCAAACTTGGTGCTTAGCAGGGCATTGACAGTCCCTAATACCCAAGTTATATCGCTTATAGATTTAACGAAAATCTCAATAGGAGTGAAAACACTACAATGAACATAGCCCAAGTAGAAATTAAAAAAAGAATAACTATAAATTGTACATAACTGCATCAAAACGGAAAAGTATACACATTATCCGTCGCCCACTGAAGAAAATCTCTCAGGTCGTGGCTAAGGTTTTTTCCCATAGGTACAACCTCGCCCGTAATATCAAGCTCGAACATAGGACTTTCTGGCAGGCTTTCGTCGCCCCTTTCCGAACCTATAGCGAACTGCTGCTTATGCTCCCCCAAATGCTGTGACCCGAACACCCAGTGCTCGACATCATAGCCCTCGAACTTGAGCCTGGCATCCCAGCGCCCCGGCAAAGGTTCGTTTACCGAGGGGATGAGCAGGCCATTGTAGACTTGCACCATTTCGGGTTGCTTCATTGAGCCAAAGCTGTCCGTAGGCGAGATGGAAGCATATTTGAGCATATCTGTCGGCTTGGAGACGTCGGATACACCACCGGAATCGCGGTTCCGGTCCAGCCTGTTGTCGCCGGCCAAACCTCCCAGCCTGGTATCTCTCCACCCTTCTTTTTGGCCTTTCCGGTATTGCTATTATTGTTGCGCTCGTCTTTATCGGAGCTCAAAAGGCCCCCAATGCCCCCAAGCCCGAATCCATCGAGCCAGCACGCAAGTTCGTCGACATCCAGTGTTTCCGATCCTTGAGTAAAGTGTACATTGCCAGAAGGAAAGCCGTCAGGACCATCGGAAAGGGTGGGCCTTTGAAAAGCGGCCCAGTCTAGCGTTTCGTAGCTTCCCAGCCTTTTAACTCCGAAAGTGTTAATGTCGGACCGGGAAAGACGGATTGGGCCGTGGCGGAAGGTGGGCATGGTGATTGTAAAAGGGCTGCATGGTAAATATACGTGGGTAGACCTGGCCGGTTGTACCTCCTGCGCCTGCTGCCTCGTCCTGTTTTGCTCTATTTGCTGTTGTGCGTGTTGCTGCGTAGTTGAAGCTTCTTCCGCATCAGTGATTAGAATTTTTGGAATGTCGAGCAAGGGCAGTGATTGAGGAGGCTGCAGCCGCCGTGGGCCGTTTCCTTCCGCTTTGTTTTGTCGCTGCGGTAGTACGCCGGCCGCAGCGATCCTGGTCAGGAGGTCCTCAA